TATACGCATGGTGTGTCCCCCCCTCTCTCTCCTCTATACGCATGGTGTGTCCCCCCCTCTCTCTCCTCTATACGCATGGTGTGTCCCCCCCTCTCTCTCCTCTATACGCATGGTGTGTCCCCCCCTCTCTCTCCTCTATACGCATGGTGTGTCCCCCCCTCTCTCTCCTCTATACGCATGGTGTGTCCCCCCCTCTCTCTCCTCTATACGCATGGTGTGTCCCCCCCTCTCTCTCCTCTATACGCATGGTGTGTCCCCCCCTCTCTCTCCTCTATACGCATGGTGTGTCCCCCCCTCTCTCTCCTCTATACGCATGGTGTGTCCCCCCCTCTCTCTCCTCTATACGCATGGTGTGTCCCCCCCTCTCTCTCCTCTATACGCATGGTGTGTCCCCCCCTCTCTCTCCTCTATACGCATGGTGTGTCCCCCCCTCTCTCTCCTCTATACGCATGGTGTGTCCCCCCCTCTCTCTCCTCTATACGCATGGTGTGTCCCCCCCTCTCTCTCCTCTATACGCATGGTGTGTCCCCCCCTCTCTCTCCTCTATACGCATGGTGTGTCCCCCCCTCTCTCTCCTCTATACGCATGGTGTGTCCCCCCCTCTCTCTCCTCTATACGCATGGTGTGTCCCCCCCTCTCTCTCCTCTATACGCATGGTGTGTCCCCCCCTCTCTCTCCTCTATACGCATGGTGTGTCCCCCCCTCTCTCTCCTCTATACGCATGGTGTGTCCCCCCCTCTCTCTCCTCTATACGCATGGTGTGTCCCCCCCTCTCTCTCCTCTATACGCATGGTGTGTCCCCCCCTCTCTCTCCTCTATACGCATGGTGTGTCCCCCCCTCTCTCTCCTCTATACGCATGGTGTGTCCCCCCCTCTCTCTCCTCTATACGCATGGTGTGTCCCCCCCTCTCTCTCCTCTATACGCATGGTGTGTCCCCCCCTCTCTCTCCTCTATACGCATGGTGTGTCCCCCCCTCTCTCTCCTCTATACGCATGGTGTGTCCCCCCCTCTCTCTCCTCTATACGCATGGTGTGTCCCCCCCTCTCTCTCCTCTATACGCATGGTGTGTCCCCCCCTCTCTCTCCTCTATACGCATGGTGTGTCCCCCCCTCTCTCTCCTCTATACGCATGGTGTGTCCCCCCCTCTCTCTCCTCTATACGCATGGTGTGTCCCCCCCTCTCTCTCCTCTATACGCATGGTGTGTCCCCCCCTCTCTCTCCTCTATACGCATGGTGTGTCCCCCCCTCTCTCTCCTCTATACGCATGGTGTGTCCCCCCCTCTCTCTCCTCTATACGCATGGTGTGTCCCCCCCTCTCTCTCCTCTATACGCATGGTGTGTCCCCCCCTCTCTCTCCTCTATACGCATGGTGTGTCCCCCCCTCTCTCTCCTCTATACGCATGGTGTGTCCCCCCCTCTCTCTCCTCTATACGCATGGTGTGTCCCCCCCTCTCTCTCCTCTATACGCATGGTGTGTCCCCCCCTCTCTCTCCTCTATACGCATGGTGTGTCCCCCCCTCTCTCTCCTCTATACGCATGGTGTGTCCCCCCCTCTCTCTCCTCTATACGCATGGTGTGTCCCCCCCTCTCTCTCCTCTATACGCATGGTGTGTCCCCCCCTCTCTCTCCTCTATACGCATGGTGTGTCCCCCCCTCTCTCTCCTCTATACGCATGGTGTGTCCCCCCCTCTCTCTCCTCTATACGCATGGTGTGTCCCCCCCTCTCTCTCCTCTATACGCATGGTGTGTCCCCCCCTCTCTCTCCTCTATACGCATGGTGTGTCCCCCCCTCTCTCTCCTCTATACGCATGGTGTGTCCCCCCCTCTCTCTCCTCTATACGCATGGTGTGTCCCCCCCTCTCTCTCCTCTATACGCATGGTGTGTCCCCCCCTCTCTCTCCTCTATACGCATGGTGTGTCCCCCCCTCTCTCTCCTCTATACGCATGGTGTGTCCCCCCCTCTCTCTCCTCTATACGCATGGTGTGTCCCCCCCTCTCTCTCCTCTATACGCATGGTGTGTCCCCCCCTCTCTCTCCTCTATACGCATGGTGTGTCCCCCCCTCTCTCTCCTCTATACGCATGGTGTGTCCCCCCCTCTCTCTCCTCTATACGCATGGTGTGTCCCCCCCTCTCTCTCCTCTATACGCATGGTGTGTCCCCCCCTCTCTCTCCTCTATACGCATGGTGTGTCCCCCCCTCTCTCTCCTCTATACGCATGGTGTGTCCCCCCCTCTCTCTCCTCTATACGCATGGTGTGTCCCCCCCTCTCTCTCCTCTATACGCATGGTGTGTCCCCCCCTCTCTCTCCTCTATACGCATGGTGTGTCCCCCCCTCTCTCTCCTCTATACGCATGGTGTGTCCCCCCCTCTCTCTCCTCTATACGCATGGTGTGTCCCCCCCTCTCTCTCCTCTATACGCATGGTGTGTCCCCCCCTCTCTCTCCTCTATACGCATGGTGTGTCCCCCCCTCTCTCTCCTCTATACGCATGGTGTGTCCCCCCCTCTCTCTCCTCTATACGCATGGTGTGTCCCCCCCTCTCTCTCCTCTATACGCATGGTGTGTCCCCCCCTCTCTCTCCTCTATACGCATGGTGTGTCCCCCCCTCTCTCTCCTCTATACGCATGGTGTGTCCCCCCCTCTCTCTCCTCTATACGCATGGTGTGTCCCCCCCTCTCTCTCCTCTATACGCATGGTGTGTCCCCCCCTCTCTCTCCTCTATACGCATGGTGTGTCCCCCCCTCTCTCTCCTCTATACGCATGGTGTGTCCCCCCCTCTCTCTCCTCTATACGCATGGTGTGTCCCCCCCTCTCTCTCCTCTATACGCATGGTGTGTCCCCCCCTCTCTCTCCTCTATACGCATGGTGTGTCCCCCCCTCTCTCTCCTCTATACGCATGGTGTGTCCCCCCCTCTCTCTCCTCTATACGCATGGTGTGTCCCCCCCTCTCTCTCCTCTATACGCATGGTGTGTCCCCCCCTCTCTCTCCTCTATACGCATGGTGTGTCCCCCCCTCTCTCTCCTCTATACGCATGGTGTGTCCCCCCCTCTCTCTCCTCTATACGCATGGTGTGTCCCCCCCTCTCTCTCCTCTATACGCATGGTGTGTCCCCCCCTCTCTCTCCTCTATACGCATGGTGTGTCCCCCCCTCTCTCTCCTCTATACGCATGGTGTGTCCCCCCCTCTCTCTCCTCTATACGCATGGTGTGTCCCCCCCTCTCTCTCCTCTATACGCATGGTGTGTCCCCCCCTCTCTCTCCTCTATACGCATGGTGTGTCCCCCCCTCTCTCTCCTCTATACGCATGGTGTGTCCCCCCCTCTCTCTCCTCTATACGCATGGTGTGTCCCCCCCTCTCTCTCCTCTATACGCATGGTGTGTCCCCCCCTCTCTCTCCTCTATACGCATGGTGTGTCCCCCCCTCTCTCTCCTCTATACGCATGGTGTGTCCCCCCCTCTCTCTCCTCTATACGCATGGTGTGTCCCCCCCTCTCTCTCCTCTATACGCATGGTGTGTCCCCCCCTCTCTCTCCTCTATACACACAGTGTGTACCCCCTCTCTCTGCTCTATACACAGTGTGTACCCCCCTCTCCTCTATACACACGGCGTGTACCCCTCTCTCCTCTATACACACGTCGTGTACCCCCCTCTCCTCTATACACACGGCGTGTACCCCCCTCTCCTCTATACACATGGCGTGTACCCCCCTCTCCTCTATACACATGGCGTGTACCCCCCTCTCCTCTATACACATGGCGTGTACCCCCCTCTCCTCTATACACATGGCGTGTACCCCCCTCTCCTCTATACACATGGCGTGTACCCCCCTCTCCTCTATACACATGGCGTGTACCCCCCTCTCCTCTATACACATGGCGTGTACCCCCCTCTCCTCTATACACATGGCGTGTACCCCCCTCTCCTCTATACACATGGCGTGTACCCCCCTCTCCTCTATACACATGGCGTGTACCCCCCTCTCCTCTATACACATGGCGTGTACCCCCCTCTCCTCTATACACATGGCGTGTACCCCCCTCTCCTCTATACACATGGCGTGTACCCCCCTCTCCTCTATACACATGGCGTGTACCCCCCTCTCCTCTATACACATGGCGTGTACCCCCCTCTCCTCTATACACATGGCGTGTACCCCCCTCTCCTCTATACACATGGCGTGTACCCCCCTCTCCTCTATACACATGGCGTGTACCCCCCTCTCCTCTATACACATGGCGTGTACCCCCCTCTCCTCTATACACATGGCGTGTACCCCCCTCTCCTCTATACACATGGCGTGTACCCCCCTCTCCTCTATACACATGGCGTGTACCCCCCTCTCCTCTATACACATGGCGTGTACCCCCCTCTCCTCTATACACATGGCGTGTACCCCCCTCTCCTCTATACACATGGCGTGTACCCCCCTCTCCTCTATACACATGGCGTGTACCCCCCTCTCCTCTATACACATGGCGTGTACCCCCCTCTCCTCTATACACATGGCGTGTACCCCCCTCTCCTCTATACACATGGCGTGTACCCCCCTCTCCTCTATACACATGGCGTGTACCCCCCTCTCCTCTATACACATGGCGTGTACCCCCCTCTCCTCTATACACATGGCGTGTACCCCCCTCTCCTCTATACACATGGCGTGTACCCCCCTCTCCTCTATACACATGGCGTGTACCCCCCTCTCCTCTATACACATGGCGTGTACCCCCCTCTCCTCTATACACACAGTGTGTACCCCCTCTATACACATGGTGTGTACCCCCTTTCTCCTCAATACACACGGTGTGTACCCTCTTTAATACAGTGTTTTGTGGGCGGGTATTCCAATGTAACCAATCAGCGCACAGTTAGACTCTGTGCAGGTTATTACAAAGGGGGCGGAGTTTATTTCTCACTGACGCGCAATGGGACTGTGTGGTCACGTGACAAACCGTGTTGGGGCATGACGTCATCAGGCGGCGCGCTCTCTGTGTACCCGGAAGTGTACAGTGTATTCTCCATGGGTGCTGATCAGTGCTTTCCCGGGGGGCACCTGATGCCTGTGCGGACTCGGGGCCCTCTAACCCCCCGCCGCATTATGCTCAGCACTCCCTGCGGTATAATGTCCGTAGGGGAAGGTTGGCCAAAAGGGAAATCTCCAGGGGCGGAGCTGGGACCCAGGCAAGGGGCGGAGCTGGGACTCCTTGAGGGAGCAGAACTAGGAACCCAGAAGGGTGGAGACAGAGTTAAGTTGGGATGTGCAGGTGTCAGAGGAGGGGTGAGGGAAGTGAAGGATTATGGGATGGTGGGTGGGTCTCTATCAGATTTGGATCTGTGTTCCCCATTGGTCTCCAGCTTTGCTCGGGTGACATCTCCTTTAAGGCTCCGGGTGGCTGTGGTTGATGCGGAGTCCTTAGTGAGGGCGGGGGTCTTGCAGGAAGTGGGGGGCCCCTTGGATCGCGGCTCGGCTCTGTGGGTGAGTAAGAAGCAGTTGCGAGATTTGGGTTTATATCACCGGGAGTGGGTGTGGGTGTCCCCGCCTGACTTCACTGAGGGGGGAACGAGACACCTCGCCGTTATACTGGCCGCAGAACTATGTCTGGGGAACCCCAACAAATACAACCACCTGCTGAGCGGACGGTGGGGGCCCCCCGGAACCGCACTCATCTCTGCCACACTCAGCTTTAACCTGACCACTGAAAGCGGGCCAATAAACGAGGTCCTTGTACAGGTGAGACCCCACCCTCAACTCAATCGTCCTATCACAGTCTATTATCTGAATACTCCTCCTATTGTTCTCTGAGACAACTCCCACTGTTACCTGGGACTCCTCCCATTGTTGTTGTGGACTCCTCCCACTATTAATCAAGACTCATCCCACTGTTACCTGGGACTCCTTCCATTGTGATTGTGGACTCCTCCCACTGTTAGCTATACTCCTCCCACTGTTATATGAGACACCTCCCTCTTTTGACTGAGAACTCCCACTGTTATCTACACTCCTCCCATTATTGTGGACTCCTCCCACTATTATCAAGACTCATCCCACTGTTACCAGGGACTCCTGCCATTGTTATTGTGGACTACTCCCACTGGTATATAAACTCCTCCCACTGTTACCTGGGACTCCTCCCACTATTATTTCAGACAACTTGTTTTTATTGTGGACTCCTCCCACTGGTATCTAGACTATGTGGAATACGGAGTTCAGCCCATTCCGGTGTCCGGTATATGATGGGGAGTCTCTTCTGCTCATTATACACGATATTACCAAAAATATTGGCCCCTCCCCCTCCAAATCATGTGATTCAGATGTTCCGTGACATTTCCCGGCTACTAAATATTCCGCCGCGGTCGCCTGTTACTGGGATTATAACAAAGTGGAAGCAACCGGGAACAACAGCAACTCAGCCACGAAGTGGTCGGCCACGTCACATGACAGAGCGGGGTCAGCGCATGCTGAGGCGCTCAGTGCGCAGAAGTCGCCAACTGTCTGCAGAGTCAATAGCTACAGACCTCCAAACTCCATGCGGCCGTCAGATTGGCGCAACAACAGTGCGTAGAGAGCGTCATGGAATGGGGGGCGGAGCAGCTGCATCCAAGCCGCACATCACCAAGTGCAATGCAAAGCGTGGGATGCCGCGGTGTAACGCACGCCGCCACTGGACTCTAGAGAAGTGGAGGCGTGGTCTCTGGAGGGACCAATCACGCTTCTCTGTCTGGCAATCCGATGGGCGTGTCTAGGTTTGGTGGTTGCCAGGAGAACGGTACTTGCCTGACTGCATTGTGCCAAGTGTAAAGTTTTGGGGG